GGTATTTTTTTCTAAAATTGAATGAATTTTTGCATAACAAAGATACAGAATTATGCGGTACGATAAAAAAGAATAGAAAAGGGCTACCGTCTTTAGATATGAAACTTGGAAAAGGAGAGATTCAAATCATACATAACATATAATTGGCTACAAAGTGGCAAGACAAAGAGAAAGTGTACATGATCACTTCAATTTATGAATTTGAATATTCAGTAAAAGGCAAAAAAGATGGAAAAACTAGAGAGAGCAAAATCAAACCATCATGCATAATAGGTTACTACAAAAATATGGGAGGTGTAAACTTGATGGAGAAATAACTGTCTTTGACCGAGACCATGAGAAAATCAACGAAATAGTACAGACAATTATTTTTTCATTCGCTTAATATAGCCTTCGTGAATTCTCATGCAATTTATAACATAAATAATACAAAATTATCTTTTCCAGAATTTCAAATAAAAATAGTTATGGATATTCTCAAATTGAAAGATGAATTAAATCAAAATAATAAATCCAGACCTGCTCGTCTTGAAGGAAAACATTTACCTGTTTTTTTTTCAGAAAAACAAGGTGTATCTTATACCAAATGCAAAGTAAAGGAGCAGAATCAAAATACCATTGCAGTAAATGCTCCATTGGGTTGTGTATCAATCCTTGTTTTTATGTATATCACACTAAAAGTGATTTACCGTAAATAATTTATGCGTACGTAAAATATGATTCGTATAATAAATAATGCGTATAATACGAATAATATGATCATTTACTAAAAGTGGATGAGTCAAAGTGAAAAAATGAAAACCATCAACACAAACACAAAACACTTGCAATCACGCGCGTACACATTCACATACATACACACATTCGCACACGCACATATATGCAAACGCATACACACGGAATCAGAAACTCGCTACGTCCACATCGTTGATTCTGGATAAAGCTAAGAGCAAGTACATTCGGGTCACTTTGTTATGGAACTGGCGATATTGAATTTCAATTTTCTAATACCAAAATTATAATTAGCAATCCTAAAAAGTCAAGTCGAACTTTTTTTCAGACTTCTCATACGGTTATTTCTTTGCTTGACCTTGAAAGACCTTCAAACGACGTCTAACAACCTTTGAAACTCCATAGAGACCAATTTCCAAGCAACTCTAATGTAATTAAATGAGTATATTTCAAATTGATTCTTTTACGTCTCAAGACGTTTAAAATCATCTAAACGTTAACATTGTTGTCCACGACTCCTTTTACGAAATTATTTGCGCCAAGAAAGAGAAGCACGAATGTTCCGACTACTTAGTAACCTAACAGGCTTGTAGGTTGCGACGTTCGTGCGCGACAGAGCTTCGACACAAAAATCATGCCGACCATTCGATAAAAATAAATTTTGTTGTCGGCCAACTTACAAATAAATAAAAATAAAAGAAAATACATTAACAAATAAGTGAAGGTTAGGTAATACCCCGCCTGTATCAGCAATCGGACGAGGCGGCGTCCTTGGAGAGGTGCTAAACTGCTGCAGACCGGCACAAATACTCACCCGCGCACCGGTGCCCCTCTGCGCCCAACAACGGGGACCATAGATCACTCTATCGTGGCACGAATGCTCACTGTTGGGCAAAAGGTCACCTCAGGTCACGCGCGCGATCGATGGCAGGGGAGAGACAGAGAAAACTCACACTGTCGCTGTTCCCGCTATTGATTCCGTTCCTACCATTGTTGCTGTTCAAAAATCTCTAGGCCATCAGTGGCAGCTAGTAAGCTGCCGAAGAATATACTGTGGAAGCCGGGGCAACAGACTAAGGGAAAATCACTAACAAAATGGTTTTCCGCACACAAATGAATAAATACGTTCTAGTACTATTAACAAAAATATAGTAGTAAAAAAATAGATGTCGAAAATTTGTAATAGAATTTATTAAATGAATTTCTGCATTTCTTCACTCTTAAGGTTTTTTCTTTGTAAACAAATATACATATCAAATTTGACGAAAACGACAAGAAACTAGACACTATAAAGAGTCCGTTCAAATTTGTTCAAGTAAATCCAATAAAACAATTATTTTATTACGAGCGAGATGAATACTAGTATCGCTTTTTACCGTGCAGAGCCCAATTCAATCCGCCCCTGAGTTGAAGAACCTTCTTATATAGAATCTCACTGAAATTCCTATATAAAAAAGTTATAACCTGCCGAGTAAATAATTTTATTCATGATTATTGGTTAAAAATTACTGCATAGGTTACTGTTATGACAGTATGTATAAAAGTATGTATGTATAGTTGTGAGGCATTGTATGTATAATAGCACAACTAATATGTTCAATGAATTCAATGTACAAATTAAATAAAGGAGTTTTACATTAATTTATCAATTAATTGTATGAATATAAAATATGTAACGCAACTCGTAGACATCATAACGCCCTCATTCACTTAATTACCTAATCTCAAAATTATATGATAAAATAATCTTAATGTAATTAAATTACATTTACTCTAAAGACATTATATTTCTTATGTAAGTTGTAAATTATTATACATAAAAATGTATCTCGTATGACAACTATGCGAATTGAAAACACTGAAAGAACTTGTACAAGAAATGACATAAGATTGTATGGTATTTATATGCAATTTCGTACTCAAATTTATAATCAAGAACTTGACCTTTATTTTCATAAAGATATCTACACAGTGTTAAAGATATCTACACATTAGAATTTTAATTTCGCTTATGATTTAATTTAAGCCCCAAATGGTATATTGATACAAACAAGAGATGAGCAGGCAAACAAGCTTAACGGCACTATTTTATAAATAGCTCTTTAGCTGATTTTAATGAACAGTTGTAATAAAAATCTAGATTACAAAAAAGAATGATTATAAAAATGAGAAAAACTTATACATTTTCTAGTTAGAAACTAAGTTGTTAGCGTAAAACAATATTAAATAATCACAAGTCAGATAAACATATGTGTATAACCAAAATGCCAAACAAAATCTATGGCCAATAGCCCCAAACTATGCCATTCATAGTATAAGGGAAAAAGGTAACCATGGTTTTTATAACAAAAATGAATTTTTTCAACTAATCTACCCAATGATCAGGTTATAGAACTTAAATAAATATCAGTATCAAAGCCTTAGAAATACAGTTTTATAGCCATTTTCTGTTATTAAATGTAAGTCTAACAAACGTACAGATGTTTTCACGTTTTATTTCACTAAATCAATTGCCACAATCAGTTTTTACAAATATTTAATTTTGCGTAATTATTTAAATTAATTTTTATAGGCAATTACACATAATAAAAGGATAAACATAGGTACTTTGTTCCCTTACGCTATAAATGACATAGTTTGGTACTAAGTTTCGTGATATCTAATCCAGTTTTGGCATGGGCCTTAATGATTTAATACAGAACCTTTATATAAGCTGTAGCATTTTGAAACAGTAGTTTCGCTGGTTAATGAATACAAAATAGATTTTTTGAATTGGATTAAATGGAACATCAAATACCTATATTAACTATGAACTTAATGAGACTGACTACATGGTAAATTTTCACTGGTGAATACAGTGAAATAAAACTTTGTTCATTATAATATGCTAATTTTACTGACTTTCATTCTGTAAATCAAAAATAATAATTTAATTTCAATCTATATTAAAGTGGATCTTAACATAGACATCATAAAAAATAGGTAGATGTTAACAAACAAGTAACCATTTATAACATTAACAATTTATTTTAACTTCAAGAACAGAAGAGGATCTCTCTTAGGTATCAATTTTTTTTATGTACATTCTTTTATTCCTCTGAAACTCTTCAACCAATTTCAATCAAGATGGGCTCATTAGAACTGAAATGGTGTCAAGGTAGTGCTGTTTTATTATTTATTTGATTGATGCACAAAAAATGAGGTTGAAATTGATCTTTTCTTTGAAAAATTATTTATTAAATATAAAAATTTAAATATAAATCACAATTATGATATTAATATATACATATTTCTATATATATAAGTTATTAACGCAAAACATATTATGTATTCAGTTTTGTGTTTACCATACTATATTAATAACCTAAGAAATTAATAAATATTTTTTTAACTATTGACAAAGTTATTGTCTAACATCATATCAATAATCCATAATTACTAATATACTATGACAAACTAAAAATTTACAATTTCTGAAATAAAAAACAAACTATGTCCATTTACACTTTCAATTACCTGTTTACTTTACATTCATTTAAATTACTAAGGTATACAAAAATGTTCAATGAAAAAAATTGATTATATACAAATTATTAAATATAAAAGTAAATTTATTTTAAAAATATAAAATGAAGTAAAATTTTTAAATGTACAAGTATTTAAATATATTTATTTTTATTTATAATAGTATTTACTTATATATTAAAAACGATTATTCTCATAAATGGAAAAATTAAAATATTTCATAAAAAATAAATATATAGTTAGTTATAATTAATGCCCCATAGTTAAATGTATTGTATTAAGCAATTTTTCAAAATAAACAAAGAGTTAATTCATTTGTCTTATGTTTTATTCAAATTAAAAATATGTAAAATTTCAAATATTTCTTATTATGTTAGGACACTTCAAATAATAAAATTTAAGAGTTAAGTCAATAGATGACAATGTTAATATTTAAGTTACAGATTAAAATTTAATTTCTTTGCACACGAGTCTGCTGTTGTTATACTACATCATTTCATTAATGTACACTGTATATGTTAAATGTATTAAAAGATGAAAATGAAGGTAAAATGATATACGTTAAAAAAAAAAATGCATTAATTACCAATTAACACACAATTTAACAGTTTTGTTTGATGACTTGTGAGCAAAGTAACCATTTATTTGTATGTAAATAATGAAACCTCTCACTACAACCTCATTAAAATTCATAAAAACATCTTTTTAATGAATGTCTCTCATTTGCTTACTATAAGACTTACCTGGTGAAACAGTTTTCTCTAGAATTTGTATCAACTGTATAGTAGTAGTGTCCATTTGCATAATTGTGTGATTTAGGATAATTACTGACTAATAAATAATAAAATAAACGAACGCTATATTGTCTTTGGAAAAATTTTAATTAACTAAAAGGTATAATGTTATCAACAAACAAATTTCATTAAACTGCCAAATTTAAATTAAAAGATGATTAAGATTTCAACCACAATGAACATAAGCGCTGAATTTTTCATGTACAATCAATTAAATAACTAGCAGAATATTGTTACACTACCACTACACTTATTTGTACGTTATACACCATTACATCATTTTCAAGAAATATTTACGTCTGTCATATTCCGTTCATATAATATACAAAACACTACAGCTGCAACGGAATTTCAGCACTTCCTTTGACCCAGGTCTATGGTCTGTTTGGACAGTTTTAAGTTTTTTTTTTTAAGGTAACACATGATTAATAACGTACAACGTATAACGTGCTTTATAAAAATGGCTAGACTGCAGCGCGCGACTTCGATAGTAATATATCGAAAGTGTTCCCTCAGAAAGAGTCGTTGCCAATTTCATAGGTCTTAAAAGTTAGCACCCAACAATTCAAATATTGAACAAATCTATAAACTAATTACACGATATGATTGGGCGGCTTTTAATTAATCACATATAATTTGTGCATCGATTATGCTCATTTTCTTTATGGAAAATACAGATAAAATTAATTATAGGTGCTGACGCTAGCACCCAAATTTGATTCTCCAAATATAGTGGTTTATATCGTGAAAATAATTTTTTACAATATACCAATCGTTAGCGCGTCTCACGCATTATTGGCACCCAACATAAAATTATAAAAAAATTATCATTTAATTAATTAAAATAAAACAATACTCTTTCGTATTTCAAAAGGTTAATATGACATTGTTCCGCGCATGCGTCTCGAATGGAACATTGTTGGAGACCCACAAGAAAAACGTGTACGTTGGCCACGAGCCATCACATTTTCTCATTTCATTTCATTACATTGATTTAAAAAAAATCTACTGGTGAAATAAAAGTGACAGTGTTCTACTAACAGACATTTTCTTCTGAACTAACATTTCAAAAACAATTCTATACTTTATAAATAAATTATAGTTTAAATTGTAACGGGGGAGATAAATCTGAAAATGGGGAATTTATTTAAGAACAAACTCCCACGATGCAGAGCAAACCGCCACTCCGTTGAACACGTATGATAATACGTGTATTCGCCTTAACGTCAGGTGATTTATCCTAGTTGTCTTCTATCGATCGCAGTTGAACTCACCTTAAGTCACGTGTCTTGTTACACTTGATGAGTTTTAAGTGTGAGCGACTTTACTCCTAATCTTCTTAATCCCCTAGATGTAATTGGATTAAAACCTAAGCCTGTTTCAAATACTTAAGCTACCAGGAAAATCAAATGACGAAAACGGCGAATTAATTTAACAGACTTTAATTAATAAAAAAATCACTATAGTCTTTGTTGGGCCGAAAGACTGACACACGAAAATAGGATTTTACAATTTAATTATGATCGGTGAGAAAGATAGATAGATAGATAGATAAGAATTTATTCACCGTGATGGCAAAACATAAAATACAATAATATATAAATATATACAGTAATTGTCACAGCTTTAGTTTACATTATGCCGTACCGGCATCACATTTCATCACAGTTCGATTACAATTTTAGTTCCTCAGTCAATAAATAAAATTATGATTGTGGTTATTACATTAAAATAAATAGACTAGGATTTGACTAGTTCACAGTTCGATATTCCAGAGGAAACAATAATTCTTATCACTACAGTCTAGCTTACTTATAACTAGTAATGCAGTCAAAAGTTTAGGCTAGTTTTCGTCATACAGACACAAAACAGCACAAAAAATAAATAAATAAATATAATTCACTACAACACGAAAATAAATAACTGTATAAACATTCATACAGTAATCTAATACAAATAAAAATACTCCAGAGGTACCACCCTACGCCCTCAATGACGCAAAGTATCCGCGCGCCCCCCTCTTAAAGCTGCTAAGCGACGGCGCGTGCCGCAGGTCAGATGGAAGAGTGTTCCAGAGATGGGCACCCATCACCTGGAAAGACCTGCGAGCCGTCAAAGAGAGAGAGAGAGAGAGTAGATTTGAATTCTACCGCGAACTAACGCACGACGCGAATACAAAAAATATAACGCTATCACGAATAGACAAAATACCGAATGTATTTTGTTTCGCTTAATAGGACGGAAGGTGCACCTACCATGCGGTGCAATTACGGTGATCAGCCGTAATTGTTGCAAAATTATCAACTGCCGCTGCACCTCGATTAATCAGCTGCACTGCATCAATTCGCCTTTATATGCTGCAAATCTGCTGCTTCTGCACCGCTGCTTGCTGCTGCAATACTATTGTTGCACCCACGCACGTATTAATTCAGAAAACTAATTATTTTTGCGAATCTAAGTGCAAAATACAAATCGGCGGTAAACTCGCGTAAACAGCGTAACGCTTATTCAAAAGATCGCGCGCCCCCTCTCTCTCTCAATAGTTCGAACTAACGCGCGAGAAGCAGAATCGCGAACGGTTCGATTAATTAAATCGACTACCGTTGCAGCCCCCTCTAAGTCCTGACTACCCGGGCAGGACGAATACCCGCGATTCTCCGTCATCAGGAGCCTGAAAAAAATAAAGAAGGAAAGGGACCAAATAACAAACTCCCTTCTTTCTTTTGGCTAAGTTTATTGCCCTCCAGGGCCTACATCATCGTTTGGCTACACCTGGCGCTCGATGTTTTGGGTAGCGCAAGTGTGTAGCCTTCTTCAGGTACCGCTGGGAGTTGGTCACCGCAGGCTCCCCACAAATGTAGCAGCCCCTCAACTAAATCGAGATTGAGCAGCCTCCCGATCTTGTGTAGGCTGCTCAGCAGTAAGAGGGGACTGCTGGACGTGGGCTCCTTGGGAGGCGGTTATAGTAACGCCTCCCACCGTGGCGGTCGCACGACCATCTTGGGACCTAACCACAATTGTGGTATCTGGAGCCATACGCCCGTCCACATGGACCGTGAGCATTGGTCCAACGTCAGTAGCTCCCGGGGCTCTCTACTCCTGAGTCGGCGCCGGGAGAGCTGCGGGGAACTCCTGTCCTTTATCTACCCGCAGCAAGGCCTCTCTGTAGGCCCTCTGACGCTGAGCCATCTCTGCCCACTTCCCGAGCAGTTTTTCTGCTCCCTGGCGGCTCATGAAGCGTCTCAGGTGCTCCTGCACCTGAAACTGGAGTTCTTTAGCGAACCGCCAGGCACTCTCCACCTCGTTGATCCCTAGACGTACGTGTCTGAAGTCGAGGAGGAGAGTAGGCTGCTCCGGGAAGCGGCGGTGGTTGCAGACCCAGTGCGATGCCCCACAGGTTTCCCTGGGTCCTGGGCACTGGCTCGCACTGTCCGACGTCTGGGGTACGTCGGACTTGAAGGTCTGCACCCCCTGGTCCACTGTGGACTTGGGACGTACGACACTGGCCTTGTCCTCCGTCTGTGTCGAAGCATCCCGGGAAGCCTTCTTCGGGGCGACCCACGATGAGTCCCGGAGAACGTCTGCCACCGATGCATTATGACACTCCCTTCGGGTGGTCCCCTCCAACTGGACCCTGGCGAAGCTCCGCAGATCTTCAATTAACTTCGTCGCATTAGGGCCCAGCTACAGATCTAACAGCATCTGAGTGACCACCCCGAACGTTTCCTCTTCGACGACGATTCTTCGGTCCATCTGAAACATCTCGAATGAATCTCCCGGCGCGAAGAAAAACCCTAACATACGCCGATATCCCACCGAGTTATACGTTCCTTCGCGATTGTTTGCGGGAACGTCTTGGCCCGCATCGGTTACCGTTTGAGTTTATCAGCCCAACCGTCCTTTGCACGATGGGCACGGTCTTTCGAGGCCTACCTCTCCCTCTTGTTTCCTTCATGGGAGAGTTGATGCCTCATACTGGACCGGTGACCGTCTCTGGGACCTTTCAAGGTCGACCTCGACCTCTCTTGGTTGGGGCAGATACCGGTAAATCCGACGTCTCGGTGGGATCCTTATCTACGGCCGTGGGGGCTGCTAATTCGATCCGCTCGCTTGGTAAATCCTTTCCCGGATCTTCGCACGCATTCGCCGAATAGTTCGCCTCCTCCGACTATTCAACTTGCGGCTCGAGAGGATCGATGACCTCCTCGCTTTCCTCATCCTTACCCGGACCGTAGTACTGTTTAAGAATTTTGGCATGGAAGAGCTCGGACAGGATCTCCGGCTGATTGCCTAGTCTGTACGTGTTGGATCCACAAACCTCTTCAATCACATACGGGCCGGCATATTGCGGCGCCAATTTGGCTGGAATGCCTTGGGCAGCCGAAGAGAGAATCCTGTTTCTCTTCCAAACTCAATCTCCGACCTTAAACTCGGGTCGCCGTCTCTTCCAGTCATAATAAGCCGCCTGACGCGCAGCTTCCTTCTTTGACTTGGAGTTGGCCCTCTCCCATAAATTAGGAAGCTTCTCCATATCTTCAGCCCAATCCACCACCGCTTGACCCTCCGAACATTCAAGGGCCTGCTGATCTTGGGCTCTTCTGAACGTCAAAAGAGGTACCGGCTGACATCCAAACATGAGCGTCGCAGGACTATATCCCGTGGCGCTATGAGTTGCCGAGTTCAACGCGAAGTTGAACTCTGACAGGTGTTCATCCCAGCTCTTCTGATCACGGCTTACGTAAGACGTGATCATGGTTTTGAGTGTCCTGTTTACTTGCTCTGTGGGATTCGCTTGGGGATGATACAAGGGAGTCAAGGCGCGCTGGATGCCATTCGTCTGGAGGTATGAATCGACTTCTTGATTCTTGAATTCGGTTCGATTATCCGACAAGAATACCTCGGGCGCGCCAAACCTATTGACAATTCTCTCGTGTAATCCCCTTGCGATTGTCTTCCCATTGGCTTTGCGTATTGCAACACACTCTACCCAGCGAATAAACAAGTCTACAAAGACTAAGATGTACTCAAAACCTCGAGAACTTTTGCGAAATGGACCAGTGATATCACCGGCCACCACCTACCAGGGTCGTAACACTTGTCTACAACCCATCAGAGAAAAAATTTCGTGCTCAACCCCCACGGCACAGCCTAAAGCCTGACCTCCGTCAGGAATCAATCCATTAACGAGGTCTTCTATTTCCTCCAGCTGTGTTTCCGTGGCCTCCCACAGTACTACCGGTGCGAGAAATGCCGTACCATCAATTCCAGCTACTTCCATTGGTACTTTCACTTGGGCGTTCTTAAGCCATAACTCATCCTCGTCGGGATCCAAAACTGTGCGGAACTCTCTTATAAAGTTCGCGCCTACGTAGCAGTCGTCCGTGAGCAGTGGCGTAATGGCGACTCTGATTTCCTTCGTGATTCC